CTCACCTTCTTCCTTTCCTTTTTTATTTAGTTCAACGGACCCTTCCTTTTTTAAAAAGTTTTTTAAAATAGCAATAGGATATCTCATGCAAAATAAATAAAAGTTATTTGTTTTTGAAGTTGCCTAATTTGCCATAATCCTTCTTGGTGCAGATTGAAGGAGCATTTGTGCAAGGATTAGGGTTTTTCATGCTTGAAGAATATGAAACAAATACCGAAGGATTAGTCTTAGCAGATGGAACATGGAATTACAAAATCCCTACATTAGATACAATACCTAGACAGTTTAATGTTGAAATTATCAATAGTGGACACCACCAACATCGCGTTCTCTCTTCAAAAGGTACGGCTTATTAGTTTTCGTAATTCTCAATTTAAGAATTTTCCAACTTATTTGGTTCAAACTATAAAATTTCATGGCTCTATTTCTGGCCTACATCATTTTGATTGATTCACTTTAGTGAACTATGTGAAGGCTAATTGCAAATAGAATAGGACCAAAATTAAACAGTGAAATTTCTTTAATACTAAAGAATAGGAAAAGAAGTCTTACACTAAACGATACTTGAAAATCTGTTTTTGTAGCTTCTGGCGAGCCACCACTACTTCTAGCAGTTGTGGTTCACTGTGCTACAAGAGCAGCAATCAAAGAAGCTAGAAAACAGCTTGTTTTGTGGAGCAACTCAAATGAACTTGATAAACCATTCCAGTTGGACGTACCAGCAACCATGCCTGTGGTAAAGGAACTCTGTGGATTGGACATTGTTGAAAGATACTTGAAATGGAAAATGGCCAAAATGTGAAGGTCCTCAATATCTTGAAAATAAGTTAGTTTGTATGTTATGTTTGGACCTTGAGGAAATATGTACTCATTTTTCCAATGTTGTGTTTCATATTTTCATTTTTCATATCTTCGAATTCTAATGTATATTGAAGCATTATTATAGAATTAGGGAGTTCACTTTTTACCTGTTTCTTGTAAATTTTAACGATTGGCGCCTCAAACATAATTATCCAAATCACAACATATATATATATATATATATATATTATAGAAGCATTATTATAGGATTAGGGAGTTCTTTAGAGGCAGGTAATTAATATCATCTTTAATTTGCATTAACCGTTTAATCAGAGCTTATAAGTTCTCTAGTTTAAACTCGAACAGATTCTTACCTACATTGCATTAACCGTTTACTGAAAATATTAATTCACATCTCAATCATATTAAGACTGTTTCTTGATATAAAACTAACATTACAAAATATTTCTCTGGCCACCAATATTAAAAACAGATGAGACATCATTTTTTTTTTTTTACTAGGAGACATAATTTATTTAAAAGTGTTATATAATGAAATATTTTCATCAAAATGGTGCTTCTAATTTTTATGGCTATAGATTTTTTTACTATGCATGCTGATATATTTATTATTGTGAGGCCTTGAGTTATTATTCATTAAAAATAATAAATATGTATTTTTTTTAATTATAAGTGCTACTTGTTAAATAAGTTAACGGCGTTATCCCATTATCTAGTCATATATCCCATGTTTATTTACATTGCCGTTTTTTTAATCATTGTACGCGTTATTAAAGGCTTCAACCATTGACTTTTGATATGAAAGTAAGTTTAAGTTTTTGCCTCCACAATTTATTATTTCCCTTTTCCAACAATATTAGTACCAGAGCCTAGATTAGTATTTACTACCTCCGATCCTTAATATAAGACCCTGTTTGATTTTTATTTTGGTCTCAAATATAAGACCCCAATTCACTTTGTCTCTTATATTTATACATTTTTTTCCAAAGTAACCCTTCTAACAATGATAGTTCTAGTCAATATACTTTATTAGTAAGGATATTTTAGGAAAAACAACACCTATTAAGGACAAATAACTAACTCAACTTACTTCCTTAATCTCCTAAAATTAGTCAACTGACTCTTATAATTAGGACCAAAGGTAGTAATAGATACCTATGATATATCTCACTGGTCGGTGGATTGCGCATACATAGTAAAGTTAATTAGCGGCTTTATACTCTCAGAGACACAAGAAGAATTCTTATTATCCATAAAAGCATACTTTCCAAATTATTATAATGTAAAACATATGATGGGATTGTGTAGTTATTTCCGTGGTGGCATGAAGTTACTCACAAGAACTCTTGCTATTCAACATATTTGACAGATTCACCAGACAAGCTCTGATGCCTTGTTAATATGCATACTTTTTTTTAGACTTATGTAGCATTATAAGCCCACCGCTTTAGCTGGGCATGCAGGAGGCTTCCTGTACTCTCATCTATTAGAATCTGTTGCGAGTAACTTCCTCAAGCAACTCTCCTTCAATTTCTAAACCCTTTTCAGACATGGATGGGAACCTTCTATCGAACAGTGGGTTTCCATCTCATTATTATATTTGGAAAGTAAATTTTTGTGATTTTGATACATCAACAAACAATCATAACTCGTCATCTATTAATCTTTAAGAGCTAATGGCATTGACTTTGAAAGAAACAAATAAAAAAGGGTTCTAGCATTAGATTTCAGACAATACTTTGTTTCCTCTAGTATAGTATGCCATGGATCTACTCAAAAGGTTTTGTATGTTAGGCTGTAAAATAGCACATTCTCCCATAATGTGAATGAGAAATTAAGAGTTAAAGATAGTACCAAACCTGCGGTGGTTCAAACTACTTATATAATACAAGGCCTAATACTACACATTCTGCAAGTGTGGTTTTTGGATTCATGTATATCCCACTAAATATCATTTTGGTGCTGTAAAGAGAATCATTCGCTATGTTGCAAGCATTGTTGATTTTGGAATCTAGTATTAAAAAATAGCAAATTTTAAATTATTTAGCTTTTTTGATAGTGATTGGGCAGGTTGTATTAATTATGGGAGCACTTCAGGGTATGTCTTTACTTTTGATTCATGTACTATTTCATGGAGCTCAGAAAATCAAGACATCATAGCTTTATCTCATCGAAAGGAGAGCATGGAACAATAACTTTAGTAGTTGTTAAGCAATGTGACTTAATTAGATTTTCTTCAACCACAGCAAGATGCAACAAAAATTTAGTGATAACAAATCAGTCATTATGATGACAAAAAATGTAGCTTTTCATGACAAATGGTGTAGTGCCACTTCATTTGTAATCTTGTGCCAGATGGCATTATTGCATTGAAGTATTATGGAACAAATGAGCAAGTTGCAGTTATAATGACCAAGTCACTCCTAATTGGAAAAATTGAAGATTTCAGAATGCAAATGGGTGCATGTACCTTTGAAGCATGAGAGAGTATTAATGGATGCTTCACCATTTGTCATGAAAATTGAGAGAAAGTATAGGTACCTTCAATATAGTTTTCCCAATATTTTAAGATTATTTAATTATTATCACTATTTTATTATTTCTTATGTATAGTCATATATCCCATGTTTATTTCTGTTGCTATTTATCCGTTATTACACACGTTAAAAGGCTTAAACGATTGATTATCTCAATTTTCTGCCTCTATAGTTTATTATTTCCCCTTTTCCAGCAACAATGCATCATGGTTTTTTTTTTTTCAATTATGTTTTCATTCTTCATGTCTTCAAATTTTAATGTAGTGGAGCTATTATAGATTTTAGGAAGTTTGCGAGATGTAGCAACTAACAGTTTTCCCATGAGCTCGGTGTTTTGGGTAGCAGAAACACAACTACTGAATTAAACGATTTAATTAAATTTGCAGCACATAGCAACCTAAGTCATCTCCAAAGGAACCAACAATTCAAGCATTAAATTAAGACATTAATTGGACAAGTAAATCATTAAAAAACGGGGGGGTTTGTCTGAAATTAAATAGACCACTTAATCAGGAGAAATTTATTTAACTAGCTAAAAATTTGACAAAAATCTAAAGTACGGATGGTTAAAAAACCAAACCATAAAGATTTGGAGTAGCTGCATTGTGTGAAAATATAATCTATTGTTTCTTGATCAGAGCAGCCAAAAGGACACTTGTTAGAATTGTTCAGATTATGTTCTTGCAGAATATCAGCCACTGGCAGTGCTTGATAAATGAGTTTCCTAACTCATTGGTAATGTCAGTAATTCCCAATTAATTTTGAATTTTCACTAACTATTTAATTATGGGTATGATGTGAGAGCTTTTTAATAAATAAGATAGGCATGTATAGTTTGTCTCTTATATTTGGGATCAAGAGACTCTTTAAATGAGATCACTTACACAACAGAGATTAGAATTACATGGATTACGAGAGTAACTTAAAGGACGCCAATTAAGATTATTTAAAGGAGTATTAACACCAAAAAGGAAAAGATGTTTTATAGTGAAGTTGATATATCATCGTTGGTTCCAACATTTTTTTACTGAGACAGAAAATATGGATTCTCATATTTAAAATGCTAATGCCTATCTTCTTCTCTTTATGACAGAGTAAAAAAATTCAATGAACTATATTAAATAATAATTACTTTAAAATATCAAAAATAAAAAATACTTTTAATTTTAAAATTTAAATATTTTTAATATTTTAAATCTATTGGTTTTTTTTTAAAATTAGCACTCATATTTTAAATTTACATATACAAAATTCGTTTCTAACATTCGAAATATAAAGTATAATAATATACATAACCTTAACATAAACCCATGAAAATTTCATAAAATATTAACAATAATTCTACTCCCAAGAAGTTTAATTTTTAAAATTATCAAATACTCCTATCTATAATTTTTCTTTTCTTGAGCTGCCGTTTCTTCCTTGCCACCCGTCGCAACCAATATCCTTAGTTCGGACTTCTACTTCCTACGTCAGCTTTCCGTTTCGAAGGCAATACCGCTCAATAGAAAAGGACTCGAGAGAGTTCTTCCACGAAAGCAAATATACATATTCGCATTATACGTGTGCATTCAGGTCCATACATATTGGGAGAGAGAAGTGAAGACACATAGATGGTTTGAGAACCACGAATAATTGGTTCTAAAGATAACACATTTATCGTTTCTTTGAGCATAGTGTGTGGGGCGAGAACTGTATTTCCTGAAGGCTGCTCATGTCTGAACTTTTGGATTCATCCAAAAAGATGAAGGAGAACGGAGAAAGAAGAGAAATTTTGGTTTTTGCGGTGAATGGAGAGAGGTTTGAGCTCTCGAGTGTTGACCCATCAACCACTGTTCTTCAGTTCTTGCGCACTCAGACTCCATTTAAGAGCGTCAAGCTCGGCTGTGGCGAAGGTTTGTCTCTCTGACTCTGTTTTATGATCATCATGTTCAAGTTCACTTGTGATAGTGTTCTGATCTTTGTAGCGAGTTCATGAAACTGAAATTGGTTAGTCTCCAAAAGGAAACTGATAATTCTTTCATGAGTGACTCATAGAGCTTTAAGTCCTTAACTTGATGAGTTAGTGTTGATCATCTGGCACTCTATTCTGTTTCTTAATAAAGTCGTATCCATGCTAATCTCTGCATTAGAGTATTTGAAATTGCAGGTGCCCAATGATCAAAAGAAAAGGTCAATCTGAGATTTTCCTTTCTTTCTTTTTTTTTTGGCTTTAGTTAAATTAGTTTGTTTCTAGTGTTTCTAAGCCCCAGCAGATGTTTCTTCCATAATTACTGTTTCTTGAACTTTCTCTCTGCTTTTAGAGTCTTCCTTAGTTACGGTATGCACTCTGTTTGATTTATATGAAAACAGGTCACCTGGTACTTCCATCCTACGATTGCAATCAGTGAAAAGAGGCAGAGTTTTTATTTCTTTTTTTTTCCCCCATTGTATTTGAAATATTTGGATGTTGTTGCACTACTTTGGACATTCTAAGAGACAGAGACAAAAGGAAATTTGGATACTGGACCTTCATTACCATCAACATAATAATTTTGGCCGTAGGAGCTGGGAACAGAGTATATTACCCTTGCTGTTTCAATTGTTTGCTGAGTTTATGGTTAATTTTTTCCTTCATACCACAATCGAGGTTGTATAAAACAGTTTATAAAAGAAAGTATATACACTTATTCTTCTATTTTTACCGATAGTTTCAATAATTTTACTGATACTTTTGTCTCCTCAAGATGTCTTCAATTCAAGGACTCACTTCATGTTTCAATCTGGTTTGTTCCAGGAGGTTGCGGCGCTTGTCTTGTTTTAATATCCAAATACAATCATGTGCTTGATCAAGTTGAGGATTTCACAGCAAGTTCTTGTCTCACACTACTTTGCAGCATACATGGATGTTCCATAACTACAAGTGAAGGACTTGGAAACAGTAAAGATGGCTTCCATCCAATTCATGAAAGAATTGCAGGATTCCATGCTACTCAATGTGGATTTTGCACTCCTGGAATGTGTGTTTCTCTTTTTGGAGCCCTTATCAATGCTGATAAGACCAATCGTCCTGAGCCTCCTTCAGGTTTCTCGAAAGCCACTGCTGCTGAGGCTGAAAGAGCCATTTCTGGGAATCTTTGTCGATGTACTGGGTATCGACCGCTTTCTGATGCCTGTAAAAGTTTTGGTGCGGATGTTGATATGGAGGATTTGGGGTTAAACTCTTTCTGGAAAAAAGAAGAAAGTGATGATGTAAAGATAAGTAGGTTGCCCAAATATGATCATCACCACAAGAAGAGTAAATTTCCTGAGTTTTTGAAGGAGATCAAGCCTGATGTGTTCAAGGATTCTGAAAAACATAGTTGGCTTAGTCCTACTACTCTAATGGAGCTTCAAAGCTTACTAGAACAAAATGTTCTTGCTGGAACCAAGGTAAAGCTTGTTGTCAGTAACACAGGAATGGGTTATTACAAAGATATAGAAAGCTATGACAAGTATATTAATCTAAAGGGAATTTCTGATCTCTCAAATATAAAAAAGGATGCGACAGGAATTGAGATAGGAGCAACAGCGACTATATGTAAGGTTATTGAATCTTTAAAGTCACACAGCAAGTGTGAGTTTGTCTCTGACTTTGACCTGATACTGGGAAAAATTGCTAAACACATGAGTAAAGTAGCATCAGGGTTTATAAGAAGCACAGCCAGTATAGGGGGCAATCTAGTGATGGCTCAAAAGTATCATTTTCCTTCGGATATAGCTACCATACTTCTAGCCGTGGATACAATGGTTCATGTGATGGATGGTACAAAATTTAAATGGCTTACATTAGAAGAATTTTTGGAACAGCCACCACTAGGATTGCAAAGTGTACTTTTAGGTATTAAAATCCCAAGATGGGATTCTAGTAAAAGTGATCCTAAAAAACATAAAAGCAAAATTCTCTTTGAAACTTTTCGAGCTGCTCCTCGCCCGCTTGGAAATACACTGTCTTATTTGAATGTGGCTTTTTTGGTTGAGGTTTCTCCAAGTGAAGATTTAGAAGGGAACATGGTAGAAACTTGCAAACTTTCTTTTGGTGCTTATGGGACCAAACATGCAATAAGAGCAACAAAAGTTGAGGAGCTACTAGTAGGAAAATTGTTAAATTTTGGAATTGTATATGAAGCTGTCAACATGCTTACAGCTACTGTTGTTCCCGAAGATGGCACTTCGAAGATTGCTTATCGGTCAAGCTTGGCAATTGGTTTTCTCTATAAGTTCTTTAGTCCTGTGATTGACCATTCTGTTGAAAAACTTAATAATTACTCAAACGGGTATACTGGTTCATCAGTCAAGAAGACATTTGACTTAAAAGAGAATAATGGGAAAGTTCATCATGTTAAAGTTCCTCCTTTACTATCATCAGGAAAACAAGAGATTCAAGTAGGTGATGAGTATCGTCCCATTGGTGAGCCAGTTACAAAATCAGGAGCCACAATACAAGCTTCAGGTTTGTTTTTGTACATTCAAGTTAGAGAATAACTATAGCCTCTTTTCTTTCATATGTATGACATTTGAAAGTAGTAAGCAAATAGCTGAACAAACAATCTACCATCTCGTTATGCAAAATCTTTCATCCCATCTTTGACACCAAGCTTCTCTGACAGTCAAAATCTAAAACATTCCAGAAATTCATTTCATCGCATGCAATTTTAGCATTCCATCATTGATTACTAGACACAACTTGCAAGAATCAAGTTAACCATGACTAATACACATATACAATTCATTTTTTATGCTTATGTCTTTGTTGTCTTGTTACTGTATATGTCCAAATTTATGTGTTGAAATATCATTCTATTGAGAAGTACATATTTTACAAATGATTTATAGGTGAGGCTGTGTATGTTGATGACATTCCTTCACCAACAAATTGCCTATATGGGGCATATATTTATAGCACAAAAGCTTTAGCACGAGTAAAGAGTATAAAGCTCCTGCATCAAGAAGGAGTGAGGGCTATCATTTCAAGTAATGATATCCCTCAAGGCGGACAAAATGTTGCCTTCAAGATATTTGGCGTTGAACCTTTATTTGTAGATGAGATTGCTAAATGTGTTGGTGATCGTGTGGCCTTTGTGGTAAGTACTTGACTCCCTCATTTTGGTCCAAAAAAAGGGATCATGTTTTATTTATTATTACTGCATGAATGAGTTTAGGTTGCAGATACTCAAAAAGTTGCAGATATGGCTGCAAACACTGCAGTTGTCGAGTATGATCTCGAGAACCTTGACCCGCCTATTCTATCTGTGGAAGAGGCTGTTGAGAGATCTAGCCATTTTGAAATTCCACCGATGCTCCATCCACAAAATGTTGGTGATGTATCAGGAGGAATGGAAGAAGCTGATCACAAGATTATTTTTGCTGAGGTATATTAAATTTTCCTTGGTATAATCATTCACTCTCTTACCTAACACAAAAATACAAAAAAAGAAGAGTCGGATGATTTCATTGAAAGATAAATGCTATCATTTGTAGCTTTGATGGATAACGAACTCTAACTAATTTTGGCTAACAACTAACAATCTGTAAACAAAAATATAGGTATAGATAACTGATTAACTAACTTCTGGCCAAAGTAAAACTACGTATTCTCTTTTAATATCCCCTGGTATTAGTATCCCTTTCTATTTCTTCACCTTTGATTTGGATTCAAAGCTTAAGATTGATTATCAATAAATTGTTGAATTAATTACATATATCCAGCATATTCTTTGTCATCCAACAGTTTGACTTTTTTTTCCAAGTCACATATCCATGCATTTATGTTTGGGGTCAATATTTTCTATAGTTTGACAATGTTTGTGTATTTCTTTGAATAATTCAAAATTCAGATTAAACTTGGGTCTCAATACTATTTCTACATGGAGACACAAACTGCACTTGCTATACCAGATGAAGACAACTGCTTGGTGGTTTACACTTCATGTCAAGGGCCAGAGTATGCACATTCTCATATTGCAAGATGCCTAAATATTCCTCAGCATAATGTTCGTGTAATCACAAGAAGGGTTGGCGGTGGTTTTGGAGGAAAGTTCTCGAAAGCCTTTCCCGTGAGTATCTAGTTTTGTATTACTATTACTTTCTTATATCCCAAAATATGCCCAGGTTGATCATATGTTTCATTCTTAAAACCAATAAATGAATGAAAGAATTGGTGGAAATTGCATGCTTGTCTCCTTAGTTGCTTTAAAATAACCGACTAACATCAGGATGCAAGATGTATGATTTCTTATAAAGCAAAATAATTCTAACATATCAGGTCACAATAGAATTGTATCAATAGTTCAGTACATGAAAGTGGATATCATACATACACACACACACACACACACACACACACACACACACACACACACACACACACACACACACACACACACACACACACACACACACACACATACATACACACATACATACATACATACATACACACACACACACACACATGCATACATACATACATACACACACACACACATGCATGCATACATACATACATTGATTGTTGAGGATTGTTTATTGTAAGTACTAATAATCAAAATTTTCAGACTGCTACTGCATGTGCACTTGCAGCGCACAAACTACGCCGCCCTGTGAGGATGTATGTGAATCGTAAGACAGATATGATAATGGCTGGAGGAAGGCATCCTATGAAGATAACATACAATGTGGGATTTAAAAGCAATGGGAAAATAACTGCTTTAGAACTTAAGATATTGATAGATGCAGGGATATATCCTGATCTATCTCCAATGATCCCACATACTATTGTTGGTGCACTAAAGAAATATGATTGGGGTGCTCTATCTTTAGATATAAAAATATGCAAAACTAATCTTCCTAGTAGATCTGCAATGAGAGCCCCTGGGGATGTTCAAGGATCATATGTTGCTGAAGCTATAATAGAGAATGTGGCATCTACACTTTCAATAGATGTAGATGCTGTGAGAAGCATGAATTTCCACACCTACAAAAGTCTTTACACTTTCTACAAGCATTCTGCAGGTGAACCTATTGACTATACATTGGTTTCAATATGGAATAAGTTAGTTGTTTCTGCAAGATATAACCAGAGGAGTGAAGCTGTGGAAGAGTTTAACAGGAACAACATTTGGAAGAAAAGAGGTATATCTCGTGTACCTGCTGTGTATGAACTAAGTGTGAGACCATCACCAGGAAGAACAAGTATTTTGAGCGACGGATCAGTTGTTGTTGAAGTTGGGGGGAATGAAATTGGTCAAGGTCTGTGGACTAAGGCAAAACAAATGGCTGCATATTCTCTTGGTTTGATCCAATGTGAGGGATCTGAAGACCTTTTAGATAAAATACGTGTTATACAATCTGATACATTGAGCATGATTCAAGGAGGGTTCACGGGAGGCAGTACTACATCAGAGTCAAGCTGTGAAGCAATTAGGCTTAGTTGTAATGTCTTGGTTGAGAGGTTAATGCCACTCAAGGAAAGGTTGCAGAACGATATGGGTTCTGTCAATTGGGAGACACTTATTTCTCAGGTAAATACTAGAAATCTAAAAATGGGAAAAGCTGATCATTTAATCCTTATAATTTTGAGTTAGATGAAACATGATCCCTATTTTAGACATTTTTTATTAGTCCCCGAGTTTTGAAGAAAGAAAATTACATGAGTTGCTATCTAAAATGCAAGAACCAATATTTTAAATGGTTAAAATGATAAGGATTGGACAGCGTTGAATCAAAGTTGAGAAACTGAGTTTTAACGAAGTCAAACTTTCTAAGTTAGAATTATAGGGACCAGGTAATTAATTTTGCCAATAGAAAAAAAATCCTTCTTTTCCTTCTAATTGTCCTTCATTATTAAACTCCATAAAACCAAAACCACCACGGTTCTTTAATTTGTATCCTTGCCTCCTTACTGACATGGCCATTAAGGTTCCTGCCATATACTGACATTTTTGGGTTTTTTTTTTTTCAATCTCAAAACCATGTAATTAACAAATGTCTCCTTCTGCAGGCACACTTGCAATCTGTGAATTTATCAGCAACTTCATTCTACCACCCAGGGAGGACTACCAATAGTTACCTCAATTATGGTGTTGCAGTGAGTGAGGTAGGCTTATGTTTTATCAATTTCTCATTCAGAGAGCGGTATTTTCTAAAGCTCATGAATGGTTTACCTTGCTCAAATGTTTTTTGAAATTATTGTAAAAGTCAAATTATATTGTTGCATCAGATTATCAATGATGCCAAGCTAAAGGTTAGAGAATATTTTGCAGGTGGAAATAGATCTTCTAACAGGAAAGACAAGTATTCTACAAACTGATATTATTTATGATTGTGGGAAGAGTCTCAATCCTGCTATAGATTTAGGGCAGGTAGGCCTGCTAATATTTCAATTTAGTATCTTCCAATTTCTTTATTTTTAAAATAATTATGTTCAAACTCAACTGCTTACATAAAAAATGTGTTTAATTAACAAGAATATTAAGCATTTTAGAAATAGAAAATTTAAAATGCAGCTGACTAAAATACTTATATTTTGTAATGTCGAGGCAAGATACATTTATATTAGTTCTCTAACTACCCTCTGCATGTTCTCTCTCCTATAAAATTAGAGATCATTAAGGAGTCTAATTGTGAAAAAGGAATAATTAATAATTTATTGAATCTTAAGATAAAAATTATCTGCCAATAACTAGTAATATATTGGTGCCAAATTGGTCATTTAGCTTATAATTTATATTATATTTATCCTGAATAATTTGTCTACCAAGAAAACAAGCATGTAACATGTTGGATCAACACCGTTAGACATGTTTCTTAATGTACCTCATGATTTTCCTCATTTTATTTGGTTATATGCTTAATTTTTCTTAATTTTTATTATATTAGATTTTGAATTTTTGCTCAAGCAAAAGTGCAAAACACAGCGAATGTTATCATATTTTAAATTTGCCTCTTTTGACATGATCATTTTTTGTTGTTGCAGATTGAAGGAGCATTTGTGCAAGGGTTAGGGTTTTTCATGCTTGAAGAGTACGAAACAGATCGTGAAGGATTAGTATTAGCAGATGGAATATGGAATTACAAAATCCCTACATTGGACACAATACCTAAACAGCTCAATGTCGAAATTGTCAACAGTGGACATCACAAGCATCGCATTCTCTCTTCAAAAGGTATGGATTAATTGTTAGATTTCTTAATTAATTTGAAAATTTTCCAAATTATTTGTTTCTAACCATGAAAGTCCACTTCTCTTTTTTTTTGGGGGGGGGGGGGATGCATCCACTTTCTGTTGAAATTCCTTTTATTGCTGTTTATATTGTCAGCTGCTTCGTATTTTGGCATTGTCCTTTTATGCATGTTTTATATTCTTAGGATGCTAAGATTGAATAAGTCAAATAATTGTTTCAACCAACAAAAATAGACTTGTAAAAAATAATTAACTTAACTAATTTTCTTAATCTACTCAAATTAATCAACTAGTCTTATATTAAAAATTGGAGGTAGTAGTTTGATTTCGCATATTCTCAACTTTCAATTAGTTGCACGTCATCTATTCATTGAATAATTAATTAATTGTTATCAAAATAAATAAAAATTAAAAGTAATTTGAACGCTAATAATCCAAAGAAGATTATGAAATGTGCTGTGATCAAACATTTCATGGTCACACACTCTTAAGTAAATTGTAGCTTGAACAAATGTATTTCCTTCATATATAACAGTCTAAAAGAATGATTAAGTAGTTTTTGCCTAGTTAATTTGGAACAAATATTTGTTCAAGAGATCAATAATGCAATGCATATCTATCTAAACTTCGTAACAGTCCAAAAGAATTGGTTATAATTGGTTTATGTATCTCTTACTGTATTGTTCTTTAATTTAGTTTTATTGTGAGGATTGAATACAGTTATCTGTTAGTAGATTGCTTGGTACGTAATCAAACTCTTTTCAATATTACATGTAATAAATAAAGGTAAGGTATTGGTCAAGCTTCTCTGAGGGTGTGTTTGATATGAGGGATTTGGGACGGAGGGGAGGGAAGGGGAGAGATTTTAATTATTTCTTCTTGTTTGGCAATACAAAAATTTTAGGAGGGGAGGAAAAAAAATTTTAAAATTTTTTCTCTCCTCCTTTCCTCAACCTCCCCTCCAAAATTGAGAGGATTTGGAAGGAAAGGGCAATACTTTGCCATGTTGTGACCATTATGCTTATATTTTGCCATGTTGTGACTATTATAGTCATATTTTGTCATGTTATGACCATTATGCACATATCTTAAATAAAATAAAAGCGAAATTGTTCATATTAAAATATTTTCCCCTCCCCTCCCCTCTTTTTTTTTATAAATCCAAACAAGATAATATTAAAATCTTTCCACTCTCCTCCTCTTCCTTTCCCTCCATTAAAATCCCTCCCCTTCCCTTCCTCTCATTGAGCCAAACATACCCTAAAGATTTCTAGAATTTTTAATTCCCCTAAGATGTTTAGTATGTACATATACATATACACCACCTCTGGTCCTTAATATAAGAGCTCGTTTGACTTTTATTTGGTTCTAAATATAGTACCTTAATCCATTTTGTCTTTTATATTTATCTATTTTTTTTCAAAATAATCCTTGTAATAATAATAGTTCTAATCAATACACTTAATTAGTAATGATAGTTTAGAAAAGGCAACACATATTTGTTATAAATAACTAATTTAATTAATTTTTTTAATCTATTCAAATTAGTCAACTAGCTCTTATATTAAAAACTGGAAGTAGTGTATATATGTGTGTGTGGATAGATCAGGATGGAAGGAACCTAACTATTTGAAGGGGCCATTTACTTTACATTTTTTTAGTTATCTTAATTAATTATATCTTTTCTTGAAAAAGAATCCTTGTACTGAAACATATTGGAAAATTTGTTTCTATAGCTTCCGGTGAGCCGCCGCTACTTCTAGCAGCCGTGGTTCACTGTGCAACAAGAGCTGCAATCAAAGAGGCCAGAAAACAGCTTCATTCATGGAGCAACTCAGATGAACTTGACAAGCCATTCCAATTAGATGTGCCAGCAACCATGCCTGTGGTGAAAGAACTTTGTGGATTGGACATTGTGGAAAGATACTTGAAATGGAAGATGGGCAAAATATGAAGCAGCCTATTAATATCTTGGAAATAAGTTAGTGTGTTTTGTATGTTTCCGTGCTGTAGTAGCAGCATAAAATTGATGGGCAAAATTGCAAATAAATATATGGGCAAAATATGTACTAGTTTCTCATAAAATTTTTTGTTTCACATTTTCTAAATTATCCCTATTAACACTTTCCTAACCATAATTAAGTAGAAAAAAGAGAACTATTAAAAACAATGATTATGGTGTTTAAGGAAACATATGTTATATTTCTTATAATCAAATTATTTAACTTTTTTAATTTAATCAAATTAGTTAAATAAGTCTTATATTAAAAACTGAAAGAATATTATAATACTATTATTCATTATATTATTTTTCTAGAATTAATATCATCTCTAACTACTTTTGAAATTTGACCTCACTTTGATTTTGATTTATCCTTAAAATCTTGTTTCAAGAACCGAAAACACTGTTTTAGGTCCCAAAAATATTTAGCTAGACCAAAACGTGGTTAAATCTTAGGAGATCAACACCACTGTTGCTTTTAAATTTCAAGACCGAAATCAAAACGAAATCAAATTTCAGAAATTAATAAATACTATCAGCAATTTTTTTTAATAAGAAACAATTGCAATGGCCAACAAAGATGAATATTAATAGAGGATTCGGCAACAAAACAAAGCACAGAAGTAATGGAACGTGGTATTATTAGTGGAAAGTGAGAAATAAATCATAACCAGTGGGCCGGCCGGTTCGCGTGATTTACTGCGTTGCGTTGTATGCTGGAAAAGTTGAAATTAGTGATCATGGTCGGCGCCAATTTTCCCCAGAGATTGGCTTCCACGCGTCAACCATATGAAGCCAACTGATTTTGAGGATGGCAGCCCACTGAGTGGCAAAAAGGGGTGCTCGCACAGGAACCTGCCCCCAGATTTCTTCCGACACAAACAGTTCAATACCTTAAAGTATGTGATTCCCACTATACGACTTGTTATTACATGCTGTTCAAGTTGTTACTTGAAATTTTATAGTGATTATTTTTTTTATATAGGACTGGAATGTAATTCTCGCTAATTTTAAGGTTCAAAGCTTTAAAGGGATGTCGGTGTGCCGCAAATGCTTATGAGTCCAAAAGTTAATGTCTAAAAATGCAGTAACTTGGAAAGATGTGCGCGTGTGTGATTTGGGTTTAGCGGGTCCTAAATATAATATTCTCCTAATTAATTTGTAGATTCTTTGAAAAAAAAGGAGATAAATTTGTTATTTTAATTAATATAAGTCACTTATATCTAATTCTCACTTACTAAGAAATGTATTAATTTGATAATATTTTCACACTTGTAAAAAGGTTTTCAAAAAATATTATATATATTTTCTCTCACATTTTCTTTGTAATATTCAACAAGAGTAAAATTTAAAAAATGTCATTAATTACTTTACAAGGAACTTGTATTTAGGGACAATTTTTTTTTTTTTTACAAGTAACTTATATAGGGGAACATAAAGTGCGAGAGAATTTGTAACACTTTTTTCTAAAACAACCATATCATAATTATGAGAAGAGAAAAACAAAATTTTGATTAAAAGAACTATAGGAGACAAAAGGAAGGAATATAACTTTACCTTCGAGGTCAAACCCAAACTCTTAAATAAAATTTAGAAGTAACTAGAGTATTTGAAATTCAATAAAAGGATATTGAGTAATTTATTTTGATTCAAGTTTAAGACTTAATTAAAACCCAATTCGAATGAAGCAAATATATACTTCTATGCTTCATTTGTTAAGTTTCTATGAATGATTTATGGTTAAAAATAGTGATTAAAAAATCAGATTGGACTATAAATAAATTTAACCAGTTGAACCATCAACCAAACTAACAATTCAGCTTGGAGAAGAAAACCATTTTTATATATAACTTAGGTTGAAATAGAGTTAAGTAGTTAGAACCCAGAATTAGACTAAAACCCCAATCAGCTTTTAGAAGATCATACAGGTTATGATCCTAATTAACAAAAGAAGACTGAAAAAGTTTAAAAACCCCATCAAAATTTTTATAAAAGAAATTAACTCTCTTGAAAAACCTAAAACATTTTCAGGCTACTTGTAGTCATATGAATTATGATATTATTTTATTGAAAAATCCATACTTTCTAAATATAAAAATCAGTTAATTACTTGAAACTTAGCATTAGTTGTTTTAAATATAATATCTTAATTTATTTTATTTTTTAATTTCATACATTTTTGTCAAACTCTTTGTATCGATTATGTATATTAAAAAAGGATTTCTATCAGTGAGAGTAATTATTATATGGGGTAACTTAAAAATAGACCATTTGCTATAAATAATTAGTTTAAATAATTTTTTAATATTTATAAATTATTTATAATTCTTAAATTTAAAATAAACTTATTGTTAATCTTTTTTATTATTATATACTTATATAATTATTTTATTTATATTATTAGTTTGACAGTCATGTCATGATTTTTAATTTTGAGTACGGCAGCCCACTGATTCGCAAAATGGAGGGCCCGCACCTGAAATGTCTCCTCGGCACAATGCCTTGATTTAAGGTTCGGACTTCCAAAAGGTGTCCAGGGTCACAATGAATGACTCTAAAAGTTGATACCTAATTACTGTTTTAAACTCCCTACTTCCTATTTTTGTACGCTCCCGTATATTCGTTATAAACTTTGAATAATTAATTTATAAATAATAAATAATTAGTTACAAATATAAATTAATTTAAAATAATAAATATATTAAAAATATACTTATATTTTTAAATATGTCCTTATCATAAATGAGAAAAAGGATTAAAAAAATATATGAGAAAATGTGACAAGAGAAAAATAATTAAGAGAAACATTAAAAAAAATTATTAAATATTAAGACAAACTCAAATTAAAACTTATAAAATGGACTAAATCATTTTTAAAATTCAAAGCTTATAAATAGAACTGAAAGGTGAGACTCAAGATGTAAATTTGTCACGATACTTTTTATTTAAGAGCATTCGGTATTTAAAAGTTTTTTTAAGTACAAATTTATCGCAAAATTAAAATTGTATCAAGTCGATTTTTAAGTACTCATCTTTGATCTTTTTGGCACTAATGTTTTAGAAGACGTACGTATCTTAGTTTTATATGCCTAACATACATTGTCCTATCAAATTAGAATAATTGATTTTAAGGTATTAAAATATTCAAAACAAGAGCTTGTTATATGATGAATAATGTATAAAAAGTTCATATGTCCATAGATGCAAACACCTTAAGCATCTAAGGTAATACCTAAGCTTTTTCTAAATTTTTTTTCTATTTGTAGTTCTAAATTATTTAAAGTTAAGTGATACTACCTCCAGTTCTAATTATAAGAGCTAGTTGACTTATTTGAGGAGATTAAAGAAATAAGTTAAATTAGTTATTTGTAATATATATGTGTTGTCTTTCCTAAAATATCCTTACTTACTAAGTTGATTGGCTAGAATAACTATTATTAAAAGGACTATCTTAGAAAAAAAATACATAAGTATAAGAGACAAAGTGGATTGGGGTGTTATAATTAAAATCAAAATAAAAATCAATAAGGTCTTATATTAAGAACCGAAGGTAGTACTAAAATAAAAGATGAAAAAGTATTGAAAATGTTAAAAAAAAAATAATACTGAAGAATTGAAAAGCATGATAAATAAAAAGTGAGTCCCAGAAATATTAAAGATAAATATTGACAATATTAATAAAGAAAATCAATAAACCCTCTTGATGAATTCTAATCTCACATAGCAATTTCTACACACACACACACACATATATATATATATATAAAAGATTAGAGAATTTAGCATAATAGATATAAAAATCTGATCTAATATTTTGTCCCCAAAAAAAATGACAAATAAAAAAAGCTGAAAAATATGATATTCCAAACCATGCACCTAACACTTCAAAATCCCAGGAGAGGAAGTGGTATATGATATGGTATTTTGTAAATATAATTCAATAACTAAAATGCTCTTATATCAAAAAATGTATTAACAAATTGTGAACTGATAATAATAAGTATTGAATAACAAAAAAAAATAATACTCCCTCCGTTCCTTATTATAAGAGACGAATAACCGAATTACGTTGATCAAAAAAGCAGTTAAAATTAGTTAAGAACAATCAATATAATTTTTTTTCAAAAATGCCCTCATTAATAAAGAGAGAGAGCATGAGAGAGAATAATTAAATTATTGAAAGAAAGAGAAGTGAGAGGGAGAGAAAGTGTGAATTGGAGACAATAAATATGGGTAAAATAGAAATCAATACAAAAAAATAGAGACAAACTTTTAAGTGTCTCTTATATATAGGAACATGCCATAAGTATCAAGTGTCTCTTATAATAAGGAACGGAGGGAGTAGTAATGACAAATTATTTATTGACAAATTATGAACTGAAAATAACAAGTATTAAATAGCAATGGTAATAATGCAATGACAGGTTTGATAGCTTATTTTTTCAAATCTGATATAAGAGCATTTCTATCTCTTATGTGCCTAAATTAAAAAATGATGATTTCAAAAACTCTTTTTCTAGAATTTTCCCCAGAAAAATCCCTCCTTCATAATTTTAATATTTTAGAGAATCAAAGCGCACTCATTCACAGTTTCCACTGTTGCGTTCTGACAGTGATAATACAACTGCATCCATCCACGGGAAACATTAAAGCATGTCGGTGATGTCTAAATATAGAGAAACTTTGACCAAAAAAGCTCAAGCAACGGTCACAACCCATGCAAGCTTCGGCATTGAGAAAACCGACAGCAAGGAAACTACTTTTGCTGCGATCTATTTAAATGCCTCCAACGTTTCCAAACTTCTCATCAAACACAAATTTAAACCAAACACATTTCAAATATTCCTTTCTCTCTTCGTTACAGGCATAAAGATGAGCGTAGAAATTCTCGACGGTGCCACAATAGTGAACTTCGTGGAAGACGAAGAAGCATTTGACATATCAGTGAGTGCTCTGTTTGGCCAACTTGATACCGACAAGGACGGTCTTCTATCTTATGGTGAGATGCTGAACGAGTTGAAGAGGCTTAGGGTTTTCGAGACTCACTTTGGGATCGACGTGAAGACTGAAGAAGACGAAGCTGCTCGAGTTATGACTCACTGTTTG